GGGGGGTTACTAACCTCTGGAATAAAATTGTATCGTACTGCCATGTCCTGATGGCAAATAGTGAAAGAGAGCGGCTTTATTCCGCCCCTGAAACTCCCTCAAGACGCACACAAAAAAAGCCTCCTGTCTCTGTCTAAAGATTAACTGATGGCTGCAGGCACATCCCTTCCCCCAGCTCCCCCTCTCAGCCCCAGGGCGAGGGGCAGCGAGAGAAAACACCCTTAAATGGTCTCCCAGATAAAATGGCCCAAATGAATGGGATTGCTCCCTTTGGAGCTGGGGAGGGCTGGGATGGAGCCTCTGGTTTGGCAAGTCCCTTTCCCTGCCGCCCCCCAGCTCCGGTGTTACCTTTTCCCTATTTACTCCGTTTTAAGAATAAGCGGGATGAAGCTGAAATCGCCGCTGGAAGGTGCACTGCTGCTCCCAGCCATGCCTGTGCTTTAATACGGGAGTATGAAATTAATATGCAGCAGCTAATCCTAATTAGCTGCCCCCTGGGATGCACAGGAGGGTTTGGCACCCGCAGGGTGGGGAAAAGTACAGCTGAAGGAGTCGAAGGTGTGGATTTAGGGCAGGTAGCTGATGGATTAAACTCCCTGGTGGATACTAATTCTGGGGGGAAAAAAAGTATCTAGCATTTGATTTTGCTGGCTTGCGGTGGAAAATTTAGAGCAAACATAGTTAATTTGGCAGGAAAGTGACTTTATTTTGGTTTTACTTGAATTGGGGAAAAAAATCCTTGGGGATATTGCTGCAGATGACAGCAGGGAGACACTGGTAACATTTCATTAAACCCTCTGTGCTCTCCCCGATGGGTTCCCTCACCCCTCTTTCTCTCTACGCCAAGCCCCTGGAGCTGAGGGAGGGACCCTCTTTCCTCAGCAGCATCCGACAGCCACCGCAGGAGGGGACCACGGGGCGACTCCTGCTCTGAGCCGTACGTGCATGAGCCCGAAAATAGCAGCAGCGCGGTCCCCAGCGCTTGAACTGGCAGCACCGGGGAAAGATGTGCTGTGTGATTTGGGGAGAGGGAAGGGCTTTTCTCGGGGACGGATCCGGGTGCGGGCTGTGAAGGCAAAGGGATGTTTCCCTGCTGCCTCGTGGCTGGCGGTGGGGAGCTGAGCTGGCCCCGCTGCAGCACTGGCGCTTGTGGCGGTGCTCTGTGTTGGCAGAGTCTGACCCTGCCGAAATCTGCTTTGGGGGCTGTTTGCAAGAGGAGACCCGCTCTGCCGGAACAGAGCTTGGAGCTGGGCTGAAGCTGCCGTGTCCCAGCGGGATTGCAATGGCATCGCCCAGTGGCAATCGAAACCATGTCCCGAAAAACTAGGCAAGCATCAGCACCCTGCACGCCAGCTTATTCCCGGCACAGGAGCCGTGGAAGGGGCTGCTCCGCACTGGCTGTGCCAAGCCTGAGCCCCATGGGGCCGGGGGTGGCTAAGGGCTGGGGCTGCTCCCCCGGGGATGTGCATCCCCCCTCCAGGATGGGTCCTTGAGGGTCGTGGTGGGGCGAAGGTGGCCCACCCAGGGGTCTGCGGGCTGCCCGTCTCCCCGGCCAGGCTGGCTCATGCATCGACTGCAGCAGCATGGGGCTGGCGGGCACAAAACAAGGGATTTGGGGGGACGGGAACACTGCGGCTCGGGGGGACAGAGGGGTGCAGAGGTGAATGGGGTGATCAGAGTTCCCCGGGCACTGGTGTGGGTGCAGGCTGAGCAGAGGGGACCACAGCTGGGGTACCCCCAGCCTGCGGGAGAAGGTGGGGTGCAGTGATGGGGGCATAGCCCCCCTCGGGGCTCAGCAATCCCTCTGCCCAATGCCAAGACCTGCTGCGAGGGGGGGGTCTGTCTTCCCTGGCTCCCATGAGTTGCTTTGCCTCCACAGAGTGGGGGAAACTGAGGCACGGGCACTGGCTGCAGTGGGGTCAGGCTGCCCAAAGCACTCTGGGCATGGCCCAGCCGTAGCCCTGGCACAGCTCGGTGCTGCCACTCGTGTCCTTGCAGCCGCTCTTAACCCGGCGTCCCAACCCGGCTTGTTTTCCAAAGGATTTAAGTTTTAAAAGGCTGCAAGGCTCCCGCGCTGGGAAGAGGCGAGGTGCAGCGGCCGCTCCGCCCCAGGCCCCTCCGGACACAAAGATGGTTTGATTGAGTGGCCGGGACTGGCTGGGAATAAACGTCCCCTTGTGTCGCGCTGGGGAGGCCGCGGGGACAATGGTGACCCCTGGGCTGGCCAAGCCCCTCTGGAGCCCAGCGGGGTGGGGGTGAACCAGGGCCTGGAGGTGTGGAGAGCAGTGGTCAGATTTGGGGTGCTCCATGGTGTCCCCCCCCCTCCCCAGGAAGGGAAGCAGGTCTAACCCTGGGATCTGCAATAAGGGATTTGCTGGGCTGGAGGATGAGGAGGGATGAAGGCACCCACATGCTGAAGGGGAAGGGGTGATGGTGGGGGACACCCAACACCGAGGGGGCGGTGGGCAGCACTCGGCCGGTCATGTACTGCTTTGTCTGCTGTAAATTACCGTGGAGCTGCTGGGTGTGGGATGAGTGGAAAAGCAGAGGGGTGTCCATGGTGTCGCCTGGCACGGGGGTGCCTGGGGGTCTGCAGAGAGATTGGGAGAAGTCGTGCCAGCTCTGCTTCTGTTCCTTGTCCCGCTGGTTAACTCTGGACCCTAATGATGACAAGTGAAATCCGTGCGCTAGGATATGCTTTAAAACAGTTTTATTAGGAGGATGGCAACGCTTTGTGATCCCGAGCCCAGGGTCACCCATCATCCCCCCCCGTACCAAAACCATCCCCCCCTAAGACCGACCCCTTGAGGGATTCAGACCCCAAACACCAACACCCCATGGGCGAGACCCGGCTCTCCCACAGTGGGCGAACTGGGCGCAGGGCTGATGCGCGGAGGGGCTGCGGGGGGTCAGAGGTGCTGCGGCCATGCTGGCCACCCTTCCTCC